GAAAAAAAAAAAAAAAAAAAAAAAAAAAACATTATCATTGTTCTGGAGCCACACACCTGTCGCCAGGTGCTCCACGGAGGGTGTAATTGTTAATGGGTATCAGTTCTTACTGAGGCAAGGAAACTATTCTGAAATGAGACAATGGTCATGGTTATAAAAGTTTGAGGATATACTAAAATTCTCAGAGTTACACATTATTAAAGGGAGCATCTTATGGCATGTGAATTATATCTGTTTTTTAAACTGGAAAAAGATCAAAGTATTTTATTTATTTTTCATTCATGCAGAGCAACAAATGTAACCGAATGCCTAGCTAGGACATGGGCCACACAAGATATACAACTGGTCCTTGCTGAGCTTGAGGTTTCAGAAATGGGGAGACAGAGGACAAGTTGAAAAGCAATAGCTGGGCATGGTGGCACCTGAAGTCCCAGACACTCAGGCTGAGGGTTGTGAGACCCTAGGAATTTGAGGTCAGCTTAGCAACACAGCAAGACCCTGTCTCAAAAAAGCAAACAAACAAAACAGTAACGACACGCGCCACTAGTTTTGTGCAAGGAGCTGCCATGCTGGGAGCTCTGGTTCAGGGCAGAAGATCCGTGGGGCAGCAGTTGGTCAGGGAAAGAGAAAGGAATTAGCTTGATACCTGAGCATCACTGCTATCTAGGCACCACCCAAGGGTCCATGGTACTCCAGATCTTACAGGGGCTGTTGGCCTCCAAAGACCACTGTTTTAGGGTGGGCGTTTAGCTCGGTGGCAGCGCCTTTGCCTCACAAACACGAGGTCCTGAGTTGATCCCCCATGCCAAAAACAAAACAAACAAATACTACTGTCATGTCTTTGGAAGTCATGAACAGAAATTTCCTAAAGGAGAATCTGAGCTTCTTAATAAGACAAGAAACACTGCTTAGGTTGGAAGTGGCATATTGTCAAAGTCATGATCAGCCCTGAGTAGTAGCTGGATTGACATGGGCTTCAAGTTTTTGTGCTCAAGTTTGATTCAGGGATACACAAAACACTGAACCCACTCTTAATAATCCATTGATATCTGCTGATCTTGGGTTTATTGAAAACTACCTTGCAGCTATTTGGCACTTGCATTATCATTTAAGGCTTTGTTGTTGTTTTGGTTTTTTGAGACAGGGTCTTAAGGACAGAGTCCAGGCTGACCTCAAACTTGTGATCCTCCTTTCTCAGCCTCTTAAATGCTGGGATTATAGGCGTGGTTATCATGCCGAGCTAAAACATTAAAAAATATATTTTTTAAGTCTCAAATGATGGGGTTGAGGCAGGAGGATCATGAGTTTGATCCCTGCCTGAGCTACATAGTTTGATACTGTCTCAAAGAAACAAACAAATAAATAAATGTTACGGAGAGGTCCACAGGAGGCTAAGGCACATGGATCACATGGTCAAGGCCAGCTTGGACAATTTAGCAAGATTTTATCTCAAAATTAAAAGGACTGTGGCTATAGCTCAGTGGTAGAGCACTTTCCTAGCACGTGTGAGGCCCCAGATTCCATTCCCATACCACCAAAGAAAAAAGAAAATTCTACTTTTATTTCCCCTAATAACCTCTCCAATTTCAAGGGATGATCCCAGTTTTAATAAATGAGACTTTGATGAGGCTGTGCGCTTATGATCACTTTTCATGATTTTATACTCTAATCTCTTCTAGATTATGTATTTTGTATATAAACATATTAATAAATCCTATATAATATACATATTTTTATGAATTTGAGGTCTGGTTTTTCCACTTAAGCAGTAAGTTCACTTAAGAAAGTGAACTTTCTGTTCATTTTTGTGGTGCTAGGATTTGAACTGAGGGTCTCCTGCACACCACGCAAGTGCCTGCCACTGAGCTACGTCCCCAACTTACTACTTGTGATGCCCTAATTTCCCTGAGCTTCGGTTCTCTGCTTCTCTTACTTGTACAACAGAGTTGTGTGAGTATAAAGTGAAATGAGTGTGAAGATGGTCACCAAGTGTGAGTCCTTCGCCCCATAGCCCATCCGGTATGACCTAGGGCCTGAAGTCATAGCCAGGACAATGGTGTGATCAGATGTGCCTTTCCCTTCAGGGTGGGTTCAGAGCTGTCACAGAATTCTCCACGATGCCCCATCTGCCAACGTGTTAGGAGCCACGGCTCTTGATTATACGAACCATGCGTCCCTGGGTCTTTGTCTATCATTGTACCTTTCTTGAAGCAGACAGATTAGAACTGAGCCTAATGCTAAAAGCAGGGATTCTCAAAACAGAACCCACTAATTCACGCTTTGAATGTGGAACTGGATTGTATAGTATGTGATGCAGCCTGTAATCTTATGAACAAGCTCCCCTGTTTAGAGAGCTGTATTTCAGTTTTGGCTAGGGTGACTGTAAGTCCTGATTACCTGTGGGAGTCTTGGTTTGTGTCTTTTTCTCAACAACCTTTCTCTCCCTCGCGCTCTTTTTCAAGGTGAGGTCTCACTGTGTTCTTCAGGCTGGGTTTGGGCTCCTGGCCTCAAGCTACCCTCCTAGCTCAGCCTTTCCCATGTTGGGACTACAGGCATGTACCCAGCTTTCAGTGAGCTTACTGACTGCTCCTCTTTTCATTACCCCACAGACCTACTTTAAATGATAAGTAATATGATCACCCTGGAATTGGGGCTGTTATATTTTTAAAATCTTCACCTTCGCCAGGCATTGTGGCATACCTAATCCCAGCTACTCAGGAGGCTGAGGCAAGAGGAGCACAAGCTGAGGCCAGGCCCACAGTGCAGTGAGACCCTGTCTCAAAATAAAAAGGGACGGGGTTGCAGCGTAGCACTTCCTGCTTTCAATCACCAGTACCATAAAAACAAAACAGAAAACACTCACCTTGCAAAATAAGTACTCTTCCAATTTTCCTGATTTGAATGTATTTTTAGAGGACTCTAGTATATGGTTTTTGTTTTGGTGATTTTTTAAAAATGTTTCAATTTTTTATCTTATTTTACTTTTGTGCTGGGGAGTGAACCCCATGCTTGTGCCTCTTAAGCAGGTGCTGGACCACTGAGCTATCCTTCCAGGCCTGGACATTTATTCATTTTGGAGGGGGGTTTCTTGAGATAGGATCTCCTCACCATGAAGTTCAGGTTGACCTTGACCTCACTGTGTAGCGTGCGCTGACCTCAAACTTGTGGAAAATTTCCTTTCTCAGCTTCCCAAGTGCTGTGATCACAAGTGTGCACCACCATGCCTATGGATATTTATTCTTCAAGGCCACTGGCTATGAGGTGGAAGCCACTTCTATAACTGTAAAACTTATTCTAGACACATGATGGAGCTCTTCAGATGAGACCTTGTATACACACCTTGGGGTGATTAACAATGTATCCGGGGCCGAATGAAAAAAGAAAAAGAAGAAATCAAGATGAATACGAGTACAATTTCCCATTTAAATATATCAATGAAATGGAAAATACTATTTGCATATGCTGGAAAACAATCAGCAAGAAAATCATACCAGACAATAAAACTCGTTTTCACGTCAATTTTCTCATAATAAAATTCTGAATGCATTCACAGCAATGACGTTAAAGTAAAATGTGTGGGTGGGAAAATTAGGCCAGAAACTTGAACAAGACACTAATGAAACAGAGACTTGTGGCATATAAACGTGAAATGTCCCCGACAATCCCAGTTTCTATCATGAGCATGGTGTGTTAAGTTTGCTAGGTATGAGCTGCTAAACTAAGTGCTTAATGTCTAGTATGTTACTCAATCCTCCATACACGCCTGTTAGCTCCACTTGCAGTAAAGAAAACAGGTTGAAAAAGCTTCAGAGAACTCACCTAAGCCATTTCTCAGCTACCCCGCATCAAATCCACTCATTTGCCTGATTCTGAAGCCCAAACCCTTTCCCTGTAGACAAATAGCCTTCAGAAGAAAACTTCCCTTCTGCAGGAATAGGAACAAACTTGCTGAAAACCCTGTGAGCCTCTCCCAACGAGCACCTGGAAAAATTACTGCTTTTTAAGTAGGATCTGAGGATTGCATTTGGCAGCTGGATGTAGCTCAGTGGTACAGCCTGGGCTTAGGATGCATGAGGCTCCAGGTTCGATCCCCAGCACCACAGAAACATCAGAGGTTAGCCCGTCTTTAAACCTTGTCCCGCTAATATGTTGATATATATTTGTACAAAAGATACTGAGTCTGCTGCCATGGAACTACACCCCCAACCCTCCCCAGATGCCGGCGGATCAGATAACGAGCGGTACTCACCACGGTGCTCCAGGACTGCCGGTCTGCACACAGCAGCTTTGCAGAAACTGCATCTCTTGGGCTAACTTCATGTCTGCACCTTGATTTGCTTTCTTCCTCTTCCCTCTCCCTTTTGCTTTCTTGTTGGCTGCTTCTGTATTCTTGGAAGTCACCTTCCATCTTGGCTGGAGTAAGCCAAGGCAGGCATCAATACCTATAGGTACATTCAAGCACATACATCATTTGTTACCGTGTCTTATGGAAACATTTCTGAAAAATAACAACATCACTGAGCTAAACTTGCCTTGTACAAGCACCTGAACTCTTCTTTAACTTACAGGCAAGTTTGGTTGAGGTAAATAGCATGTTTCATTGCCTTCTGAAAATATGCTGAACATGCAGCAACCTTCGCTGGAAGACTTAAGGTCAGCGCTGTAAACAGGCACCATTGTACAGGTTCCGGGGAACATGTCCCACTACATTCTGTGGCCGGAGACTCCCGCCCTTCTACAGTTCTCCTTTTATTTTGGAAGCCATTTCCCCTGTTGTTAGAAACCTTTTCCGCCTGTATCTGTTGCTCCGGTTTAGTTTCTTTTAGGAACAGGAGCAAAAAGAACATGAGTTGTTTTGAGGGGGAAAAAATAAAAAGTTTCTTAAAGTCACAAAGGCTCAGGAGCCTGGGAAGGACAGAACGCAAAGGAAGACACAGCTGCGCCTGCTTTCATGGCGCCTCCACACAAGGGATGCGCCTCTCTGGGCACCATCCTGCCGGGAGGAGAAGTGATGGCCCAGCGGCCGGGGATTTAGCTCAGTGGTTCTACTGCCTGCCTCACAAGCTCAGAGAGCTGAGTTTGATCCCTGATACAAAAGACAAGACAAGACAAGAGATCATCCAAAGGACAAGGTGGCCTCTCCCTTTCCCCATACTAACTTCTTGGAAGTCCCAAAAGAAAGCCAAACATAACATGAGAAATGCTTCCATCAAGACATGGTAACAAATGCGCTTGACCAAGAATGTGATTCTGAAAACGGCCATGCCACTCACAAGCTTCTAGAGCTTCAAGTAGCACGGTTTTGCTCAAAATAGTATAAAATGGCTGGAAACAGGCAATATTATAATCTTACAGACCCAAGTGCATCGATCGAAAGGTGCATTATAACCCATAAAAAAGCCACACAGCTGTCACAAATCCAAACTATAAACCTGCCCTGAAATAGTGTCCCAGCTCTGATAACTCTTGTGTAAACATTTTACTAGTAACTATTTCGTTAGCTTCTGTTTTCTAGGGCAGGGTCTTGAACGTGGCTCTGGCTGCCTCGAACTCCCGGCTCAAGCAATCCTCTTGCCTCGAGTTCCCTTGTAGCTGAGACCACAGGCAGGTGCCGCCCCACCCAGGTTCTTTCTGTGCTCACTGCCAAGCCGCCCCTTTTTTCTGAGCTTCCCTCTTCTCACCTCCCTGTCGGTGGCTGCTGGTATATTTTTGGTGGGAGGATAAATCGCTGGTGTCTCTACAGAAGCAACTTGGCACTTTCTCTCTGAACATCACAGAGCAGTGTGATCTCTGACCCCTCCATCTGCTGCCAGCGAACACATCCAAACGTGCACACAGGGCCCCAGGCGGCATATGTCCCCCACGCGTCACAGATGACCCAAGTGCCCATCATTAGTGGAGCTGAGTAAATGCATCAGGAGATGCCTGTGATACAAATCGCTAAATTTTACAAGGCTTTCAAGACAGAATGAGAAGTTCCTCTCGGATCCAATACAAAATGTTCCTGAGATGTATCGGTAAGCACAGAAGAATGTGTGTATTTAACTACCTTTTGTGTAGGAAAACAGAGGGTGCCCGGGTGTAGCCAGGGTTACAGTGCTCGCCTAGCAAGTGCGAGTGTGTGTGAGGCCCTGGGTTCAATCCCCCACACAGGAAGAAAGAAACAGAGAGGAAGAAATCATAGACCGGTGCCTACATTTGCCTGAAGAAACTGAAGAGGACACAACAAAACACACAGAAGTGTTTGAGGGCTGTGGGAGTGGGAGTGGGAGCAAGAGAGTACAAAGCACACACCACAGGTGCTTTATTGGCTTGAATTTTGAGCCACTATAACTGCATTACTCAGAAGCATTTTTAAATATTGTTATCGGAGCCAAGCATGGTGATGCACACCTAGAATCCCAGCCCACAAGAAGCTGAGGCAGGAGGATTGCAAGTTTGAGGCGAGCCTGGAGTACATAGTGAGTTCAAGTCTAGCTTGGACTGCATAACGAGGCCCATTTGCAAAAAAGAGAAAAAAGATAGATGTGTGTGTGTGTGTGTGTGTGTCTATACTATTATTGCTGCTATATGTGGCAAAAAACAACAACAACAAATGCATAACGAGGCCCATTTGCAAAAAAGAGAAAAAAGATAGATGTGTGTGTGTGTGTGTGTGTGTGTCTATACTATTATTGCTGCTATATATGGCAAAAAAACAAACAACAACAAAAACAAAGGCCAAATAAGGGTCATGAAAGTGAGGCTTTTGTTTTTGCTTTTGTTTTGCTTTTTGAGGTAGGTCATCCTCCTGCCTCAGCCCCTAGTGCTGGGATTACAGGCACAGACCACCATACTCCACCAAGTGCCAAGTTTGAAAGCACAGAGGACTTCTTGGAGGGGTGTGTGAATTGGATGAAGAATGATTAGAGAGGAGGAGAAAGATGGAGGCACAGTGACCCCAGCTCTAGTCTGTGCCGTCCTGTCCTCGGGGCTGCTGCATGCTCGGATCTGTCACCTCTCACCCCTGCGCATCCTTGGCGCATCCTTGAGAGTCACCATGCCACGGAAATCACTTTCTTTTCAGTGCTGAGGGTTGAACGACAGGCCTCGAGGGTCCTAGGCAAGCTCTCTACCACTGAGCTATGCCTGCTTCCCTTGAAAAATCAAATTTGAGTCCATTTGAAGACAGGATTTTTTTGTTGTTGTTTCTGGGGCCCACTGAGCTACACTCCTAGCCCTATTTTTGGACGGGATCTGTCAGAAAGAAAAGTAAAAGGATTCTACCCGATTTCCTGACCTCTGGCCTTAGAGAAGGGTCTATCTTTTTGTTGTTGTTGTTGTTGTTTTGATAAAGTAAAAGGATTCTACCCGATTTCCTGACCTCTGGCCTTAGAGAAGGGTCTATCTTTTTGTTTTTGTTGTTGTTGTTTTGAGATAGGTTCTCACTATGTCATTGAGACTGACCTGGAACTCACTATGTAGCCCAGGCTGGTCTCGAACTCACAGCAATCCTCCTGCCTAGGCCTCCCAAGTGCTGGGATTACAGGCCTGTGGCACCACACTCCCCTGTTTTGTTTTGTGTTTTTTGTTGTTTGTTTTTGAGAACAGTGTCTCTCCGGACTAAGAGGCTACTGGGTGCTTTAAGGAGAGGGAGGCCACTGTGGCACTGGCTTAGTTATACTATGTATCTCTGCATCTCCTGATTTGTATCTCCTTACTTTTCTCCCTTAGGGGGATGGAGAAGAGATACAGTGTTTCGCAGTGTTAGAGTAGGTGATCCCTAACCAGGGTAAAGGAAAATCAGCTTTGTTTTTACCAAACTCATGAAATTGCTCAATAATTCTGATATGACTCATCTTAGTACTTTATAACCACAGTACCCCTGCTGCCTTAAAAACAGTGTTTCAGGGAAGAAGATCCAATTATGTTAAAATCCTCCTCCTCCCTCCTCTTCCTCTCTCTCTCTCTCTCTCTCTCTCTCTCTCATATACACCATCTATGTAAAGAACAAAACACCTTTGAAAAAAATGATAAATATTTACATCAATGAGGTAAGACCATGGAGAATTTTTCTTTTCTTCTTTAACTGTTTTATATTTTCCATATATTTAGTAAACACAAACTACTTTTGTCATTAAATAAAAAAAACCAGTGGTGGGGGGCAGCCACAATGAATGCTCACTTCTAAAAGCCGAGATTGGAAGTTCGTATCTCCTCTCTCTCAGCTCATCCTCCAGGAGGCCGGATCTGAGCCTCCACGGCTGCTCAGGGCTCATTTCTGGACATCAGGGCATCCGCTTTGAAACCTTCACCTCATCAGCTTTGGGGACAGACAGGTCCTCCCTGCCATTTAATCCCTTTCCCTGAGTGCTCCTGCACCTTCCATGGCTCCCACTGCCCCTCCAAGATCATCTTAGGCTGGATTCAGCACTTGGTCCCATCCCTCCCTCCTCCAAAACAAATAAATGGACTCCCTCAGAATCCTCAATGAGGCAGTTTGCTGCTGCCTTTTTTCTTGGGGACAGTTAGAGCAAGAGTGTCCCTTGTGTTTCTCATAATGTCTGCACGCATTCTGTGCTGGCAGCAGCTCCTTCCTCTCCCTTTCCCCCAGGCCGCCTCCTGGGCCTCCTGTGCTGACGCCACCCGCTTCCCCCTCTGGTAGGAGAGAGGCCAGGCTGGCCAGTCGTCAGCCCAGCTCCTTTAGACAAATTAGGTGCACGGTTTGATTCAATGAGGCTTAAAGGTTCCCGGAAGCCAGGCAAACACCTTGTAGGTGTTTAATGTCCTGTCAGCAGGGACGAGACCACTTGTGCAGGGTTGGAACAAACCATGTGGTAAAAGGATAAACTAAATCCCGATCACAGAGGGCCTGCAAGATCGTACTGCTGTCAGGTGCCACGGTCGGGCAGGGTGGGCGAGAAGAGAGGCTGAGTTGCGTGAAGTCTCAGCTGGACCCCTGAGGTGGCACGGTGAGGCACACAGAGTCACAGGCCCGCAACAACAGTGCCATGCATGAAGGCTCACAAAGCATACGCGCAGATACGACAGTTATAAATCAGGAAGAAAGATCTTACACAAAACATGCTCTGTCCTCCCACCTTAGCAAAAACACCTTCAGAATGGCCGGAATCCAGCCGGAAGTTGGAATTCTTGGTTTCCTCCTTCAAAGTCATTGCCAGGGCATTACTGGGAGGCGCGGGCCCAGCTCCACCCTCATCCCACTGCCCAGTCCAGCCTCAGGAGGGCCTCTGCCGCAAAAAACAAATACACAAACCAAACACACACAATCACACAAGTCAAGACACTGTACTATGTTCTCAGCACCCACCATAGAGCCTGGAAATAGTAAACACCCCAAAATATTTGATCAATGTTAGCTGAAGCTGTGAGGACCCTGGGTCCTGCCCGGGGTTCTCGCTGAGCCTGAGAAGGCTGCAAGGAGACCCCCATACTCATAGAAAGACCCTGACACCTTGATCGTGTTCGATTCCTGCCCGGGGTCAGTGAAAATGGATGACCGGTGTGACAGGTGCACAGTCCGTGACAGGGAGAAAGGAGTTTTCACAAAATTTAAGCAAAAGATGTCACTTTAATTGGGCCCCTGTGGTGCTAATATTTTGACTGTCCTTATGTCACATCCTGACTCCAATGACAGTGAGTTGAATGCTCTCATGTCTTTCCTAGAGGCCTTGGCCACCCTTGGGGACAGATGCAGAGAGGGAGGGGCCACTGGGTGGCATCCCTTGATTGGAGTCCTGGCCCCCAGAATCTTTCTTATTCTGAGGCCTGTGGCTGGGGGGGTCCCACAGCTGGAAAAGTAGTAGGTACAGTAGAACGCTGTGAACCACCTGCTCATTTCAGCTCTGAAGGCTTTTTTCTTTCAGTAAGTGTTATGACTGCATCCTATGACATGGGTGAGGCTGAGGAAGGAGGATCAAAAGTTCAAGCCCAGCCTGGGGTCAACTTAGTGACTTAGTGAGACCTTGTCTCAGAATTTGAAAAATTAAAATAAAAAAAGCTGGGAGCGTGGTGCAGTGTGGATGGCCTGGGTTCGATCTCCAGCACCCCACACCCCCCCACAAAAAAGAACTTAAAATTGAAACATTTTCTGGTTTGAGTCCAAAAATCCAGCATAATTGGGACTCTAACCTGTAAGGCTATCAGATTTGCCTAGATGTTTGAACACTGTTCTGGTAATATTTAACTTTTTTTTTTTTTTTTTTTTTTTTTTTTTTGTACTGGGGATTGAACTCAGGACCTTGGGCTTGCAAGGCAGGTGGCCGTACTACTGAGCTAAATCCCTGTTTTGTTTTTTGAGATAAGGTCTTGCTCTGTAGTTCAGGCAGGCCTTGCACTCATGGTGACCCTCCTGCCTCAGCCTCACAAGTGCTGGGATTACAGGTGTGCACCACGATGCCCAGCCAACTATTTTAATTTCTGACTTACAGGATACTGTGTTGGTTAGGTGCCTCTATCTCTTAGGCACCTTTACTTTTGCTTACTTTTGCCTTTGTCAAGGGCAGAAGTGTGGTCAAAGCTGAAACCCTTGATGCAAGGCTGTGAAACCCCATCACGCCAGTTCTGAACCCTGCCTGGCTGTAGGGAAAGTGAGACAATCTGTACCAGCTCCTGCAGGGGTCTCCCACAGGGGCACCAGGCTCATCAGTGCTGCCTCCGGCTGAGCAGATCCTCCGGATACACTCACTCCTCTGATCCCGCCGACTTCATCCTGACAATCTGTTTCTGCAGCTAATGATGGAGACACGAACGTGGGACTCGCAGGCTTTTCCAGATTGCTTTCAACCTTCCAAATGCCAAACCATCAGAGTTTTTAAAAATAGTTTTTGATTTTCTAAGTACCACAGCAGCAGGACCAGAAGATGACAATTTTAAGACAACTGTCCTCTGTGCCTTGCTGTTGGTTTATCGGTTTATTATCTGACTACTCAGAGAGCAAGGAATTGCACTGCAAGAGAAATGGGCACAGCCCAACCTGGGGCACCCGGGGACTGTCACCCTGGGCCTGCATGGCCTTGTCTGAAGTGGTTCCCATATCGTAGGGGTTGGGACATCCTGGGGACCATCTGATAAGACAGGAGTGCAAACTCTGGCGGGGCAGACTGTGACAATGCAGGATGGAACCTCTCTCGCGAACCAACACACAGAGGGCCGGGGGCAGAAAGCACTGGATAAGTTAGGATTAGGTTTGGCAGGGAGTGACCCAAACCTCCAAATAAGAGTGCTTACCCAGGATGGGAGCTCATTTCTCTCTCACACCGACAGAGGCAGGAGGTAGGCAGGGCATGGCTTCACAGAGTCATTAGGAAACAAAGTTGCTCTCTGTTCTATCCCATATTCCCTAGGGCAAGGATGGTGAACCTTTCAGAGCTTTCAGTGATACAAACAGCCTGCTGGGTTGCACGTGCCATAGGTTCGCCACCACTGCTCTAGGGAACAGCCTGTGTCCAAGCTGGTGAGGAGAACTGGTGATCCTATGAGGGTCACAAACATCTCTGCTCTCACACCAGTGGCCAGAACTTAGCCAAATGACTACGTCCTGGTGCCAAAGATGCTGGAAAAGATAGGCTTATCTCAAGAACTGAATGTGCAGCTAAAAAATGAGAAAATGGAAGAAAGAAAGAAATGAGAGAACGGGCTGGGGTAGACTATGAGCTGTCTTTGCAACATTGAACTTGGCCACAGGACCTTGGAAAAGGCCTCCAGAAAAATGATGCCTGAGCAGAGAGTGAAATATGATTAGAGCTTATATAAGCCAAGCACAGTTAGATAAGCAATAACTTCTAATGTTCTGGCCAGGGATGGGGGGTGCATACTTCTAATCCAAGTTGCTTGGGAGGCTGAGACAGGAGGATCATGAGTTTGGCCCATCTGACCAATATAGTGAGACCTCCCATTTGAAAAAGATGCTAATGTTAGACAGTGGGGGACTATAGTTCACAATAATCTACTATGTATTTTATAAGGATAAAGAAAGCCACTTGTGGTGGTGGTGCATGACTGAAATCTCAGCACTCAGGGAGGCTGAGACAGGAGAAGCCCAAGTTTGAGCCCAACCCGGGCAACTTAGTGACTTAGCAAGATCCTGTCTTAAAATAAAAAATAAAAATTGGCTAGAGACATAGTTCAGTTCAGTGTGAAGGCTCTGGTTCAATGCCCAATCACACACACACACACACACACACACACACACACACACACACACACACACAATGAAGAAGTTCAAAGACTCCAAATACAAAATTATAAAGATATGGTAATGTTCATTTTCCATTTTCCTAATTTGAGAAGCACCTAAGGGGTAAGCAAGTACTGGAATATCACATATAATATGTTCCATTATTATGCTTTGATCAGAAGAATTTTTTTTTTATTTGCTACCAGGGATTGAACTCAGGTCCTTGTGCTTGAGAGGCAGGTGGCGGAACCACTGAGCTAAATCCCTGGCCCCTGGAATAATTTAAGGTTTAAGGAGATGGAAAATTAACATCTGATTTGAAAGATTAAAATTTGATTGGACCAGATTGTACAGATGTACAAATTACATATATTGCCTTGTATAGATGTGTTGAATATCTGCATTGTACTCCACAAATCTGTTCAACTGAAATAATAATGAACAAAAATCAGTTGCAGAGAACTGACACAGATGGAGGAGATGGCGGAGGAAGGGAAGAGCGCTTCCGGGACGGGACAGCATGTAGGACCCAGGAGGGTAAGAAAGCAGCATGGCGGTGGTGGAGGAAGTTGGCCGGAGAATGGGGTGGAGGAGAACTCACCGCCCACACTGGGTTTGGGCTGCTCCTCCTCCCACGGGGCTCTCAGGGGCTGGTCTTTTCCTTGCCGACTCTGCATCCGCTGTGTCTCATTCGCCAGGTCCACAGGGAGTGGCCGGCTGTTGCCTGCAGAGCAGGAAGGGGAAGAAGCCAGACTCACTACGATGGCAAAGGCTCCTGCGCTAGGCCTCAGGCCCTAGTCGTTCCTCCTGCCGCTTCCTCTGCCTCCGGGAAATCCTTCCACTGTGCCAGTGCTCACGCTGGAGTCCGCCCAGTACCCTCTCCCTCACCTTCCGATCCAGCTAGGCTCTGACGGCCTAGCCATCTGCACCCTCCATCTCCCACATCGGCTCCTCTTCTCCGGGGCCCCTGCCCTGCACTAGTCCGGCCACCCTGGCCCCGGAGAGACCGACACACTGCAGGGGTCTAAGTTTGTCTTCTGCACCCACTCAGACCCCTCTAACCCCATCACGTGGAGCCTCGCCTCAGCTGCCTTCCTAAACAGCTCCGGCTCTCTTGGAATACACGCATTGGTTTACAATTTTATATGCACAGGTTCTTTGATTAACATGCCCATTGCTTTTGCCTGAAACAAATACAGAGGCTTCAGGTTAATCCTGCAAACAGTTTCTCTTTGTACATGTACAGGGAGAGTGACCTTTTTAAATACTCGCACATCAGGGGAATATTTTAAATTAGAGATCTGAAGGCTAATTGTGGTTATAAGTATTTTATATTAACTTTGCTAATGCTTTATACTGATATGAAGTAATAAACCCAAATTTCTGTCCTGGGTATAATGAAGATGGTTTAATATTGGCAGAACAGGATGGTTGCGTTTTTGCAAACACTGTTTTTGGAGGCCTCCAGCAGGGATCCAAGGTCAGGGGTCTTGGGAAGGTGGCCCAGGGGTGCAGGGGAATGGGGTGAGCAGGGTCCATTTGTGTTCTGGGTGCCACTCCACACCCGTGACAGTCACCAGGACTAAGCCATGAGGGGCTTCCAGCCCAGATGAGTCCTTCCAGTGTGTTTTGTCTGGCCAAAAGGATGTTAATTTACGTGTGTGTGTGTGTGTGTGTGTGTGTGTGTGTGTGTGTGTGTGTTACTGGAGACAGAACCCAGGGCCTCAATCTGCCAGTCCACAGATACCTCTGCCCCTGTATTTTTGCTTATACCTCCTAATTATAGGTCCCCGATTTCACTACCATAAACAATATGCCAAGAACATCTGCAGAAACACCCTCTTCAGGGTCCCAGGAGAGCATTTCCCTGGAGAAGACCTGCAGGAGTGAAATTGTTAGGTTATCAGGCATATTTGAGGTCACAGCTTGACTAGCCTTGGTATTATTCAGCACCAGAATTTGCCAGAATCTTGTGTAAAAGCTCTGTCTCATTTTTTATTTGGTATTTTTGGACATCCTATTATGCTATTTTGTATTTTTAAATTGCTAATGAGATTGAGAACATCACCACAGACTTCCTAGCCATTAAGGTTTTCTTTTCTGAAAATGATCTCCTGATGACCTCTATTCCCCCTGCAATGGGGTTCTTTTTGTTTGCTGCTGCTGCTGACACTGTGCATATTCTGGACACTAATATGTCACTGTGGATGTCACAAATATCTTCTCTATGGCTTGTCTGTTAACTTTGTTGTGTTATCTGTGGAATAAATAACCAACCTCTTTCTTTCTTTTTTTTTTTTTCAGTACTGGGGATTTGAACTCAGGACCTTACCCTTGTGAGACAGGCGTGGTGATGCTGAGCTAATATTATTGTTTGTATTTTGGGGATCTTGTTTAGAAAAATCTTCTGCAACTGAGGTCTCCAAGCTACTCTAATATTTTCTTCTAATAGTTTCTATATTGCCTTTCAGATTTAAGGCTTAAGGTCTTTAATCCATGGAGAGTTGCTGTTGTTTTTTTTATGTTGTGAAGTAGGGATTTAATTTCATTTTCTTTGTAAAGACAGCCAAATTTCCCCAACATCACCTGCTAAAATGATCTACTCTTAATAGGATTTGTGGGGTCACCTATTTCACTATATTTCTACATATTCATGAGTGTGTCACTGGGTTCCTTATCTTGCTCTATTTGTTTATGCTTTTGTTTCTGAATTAATACACTACCCTACACTGTTTACTTTGCTTCTAAGTCACGTTAATATCTGGTAGGGTGGGCCTCTCCTTAGCGTTTCTTTTTTAAAAATATCTTAATATTGTGTAACAGGAAGAAAAGCTCTAAAGGTGTAGGGGAAGTGGGAGGGGTAGGGGAAAGGGAAGAAAGGGAAAGAAGAAAATAGGAGAAAAGGAAAAAAAATGGAACCAAAGTCTTTGTAAACAGGGAAGGGTGGAGGGGCGAAGTGAGGGCAGGGGGATGGGGAAAAAATAAGAACCAAGACCTGTCATGTAAAGGTACAAGATCCCAGTGAGGAATGTGACTGTAATGCATACCTAAAATGTACCAAAAAGAAAATTATCTTAGCTATCAAAGATTTTAGTCTCCCAGTTACATTTTAGAATCAATCTGTAAAAAAAAAAACAAAAAAATACTGCGGGAATTTTGCAATTTCTTTGATATATTAATTTCAGGAGAGATCATACCTTCACAAAATTACTTGTCCAACACTCCTCCACACACAATTCTAACATTTCTATTCTTCTGAAAGTGTGTTTTAGTAGTGCTTCTAAATCGTCTTTATCAGTCTTCTGTGTTCTTTGGTTAAAAATATATCTGTGTGTGTTTGTGCATGCATGAGTGAATGTGTAAAATTTGAGAGATTGTGGTTGTTGTTGCTACCATGTTGCTACATCTCAATTTTCTATTCTATTTGCTTGTTGGTTATTGCTGGTGTAGAGGACAGGCACTGATTTATGATGGTTCTAGCTCAATTCGTTTATGAGCTGGTCCTCCCTCTGTTCCCATCTCTTAGTCTTTACCTCATGCTCCATTCCAGGGCTCTGATCGCACAAGGGTGTGGACCGTGCCGAAGCGGCCGTCCGCAGTGGAGGAGAGAAGCTTCACCATGCCCGACCCTGCTGGGACCTTGATCCTGGGCTTCCCACCTCCAGAAATGCAGTTTCCACTGTATAATACACGCGATGGCCTTTTCCTTTCTGTGAAAATCAGTACAACCCCTTCTGCCCTGGCTATTCTGGGTTATTTTATAGAAAGGTGTCTCGGGTTAGAAAGTTTCACCTGGGGTCTTTAAATTCAGATAATGCAGATCTGATTATAGCTATGAAGTGGTTTTCCAAAAGAAAGAAAGAGAATTAATATTCATGGCATACGGAAGTAACTGACTTTTTTAAATGTTAAAATATTTTAACTACTTTATCTTTTTTTTTTTTTAAGTTCTTGGGACTGTACCCAGGGCCCCCATAGGCTAAATGCTCTGTCTCTGAGCTACATCCGCAGCCCTCTTCACAGTATTTTGAGACAGGGTCTCCCCAAATTGCCCTGGTTGCCCTTGAACATGTGACCCTCCTGCCTGAGCCCCAGTAGCTGGACTTACTGATGGGCACCACCATCTTTGCTTCCTCTAAATCTTAGTAAAAAAACATTTTCATGGGGGTGTCCTCAAGATGCCCTGCCAGAGAAGAGATGGAGGTTGCATTGTCTCTAAAGGTGAACCTCAACCAAGAGACAAAGAAGCCCACTGACTCCCAGGGTAAGAAGGAGAGACCTCCTGTTTCCTGATCAGGAAAGAGAGGATCCATCTCCTTCCAGCAAGGGGAGGTCTGCAGCCTGTCGGTCCTCTCTTAGAAAACGCCAGAAAGATTTCTCAGGTGCAAAGCGCTAGTCACGTTGGTGTGGAATCGCATCTCAGAACCATATAAATGCCTCTGCATCACTCCCAGAAGGAAACCCACGGCCAGAGCCATGGCTCTGACCACCAGCCTGAAGTCACCTACCACCTGCTCCTTCTTCCTCTGCTCTAGCCGCCTGGGTTGTTTCCTATTCCTTGAACACAGGCAGTTGACACTGGGTCCGGGGCCTTTGCACATTCTTTTATCTCTGCCAAGAGTGCCCTTCCTGGAGACCAAAAGTCTCCTTCGGTTGTTCAAGGCTGTTAAAATCTCACTTCCACAGAGACCACCTGACTGAAGCCAGCTTCCCTGCTTCCTACCCTTGTTAGCATTTGAGTTACAAATCTGTTTGATTATTTGCTAATTCCCTGTGTCCTCCCCTAGGATATAAGCTCTGCAAGGGCAAGCCCCTGCTCTAGAACAGCCCCAACATGTGGCAGGAGTGCAGCAGACGTATGTTGAACCAGTGCATATGCAGGTCGGCCTGCTGAGGACAGACGGGTCTGGGTATCGGGAGTACCAACGACACAAGCCTGTGCGTTTTTCCTTCAAGAACTCCAGCGGCCTCCTCCTGTCTTCCCTGCTCCAGAAAGGCTTCAGAATAGAGAACGACCCCTCCCACTGCCTTGGGGCCAGCAGCCCCCCCTCTCACACGCTGCCTCTTTTTTCTTCCTTCTCCACTTTTGTCCCACAGCCAGTCTGGACTCTTCTGGGCACCTCTGGGCCTCCCTGGGCCATGTGCCCATTGAGCTGCTCAGACCGTATCTGCCTTGGGGCATCTCCTGGGGGAGCCATCAAGTTTTCCAGACAAATATTACACCTTTTACCCTCACAGCTTGACCCTGAAGGAGGTGAAAGCCTTTGTCCAGAGAGCCCTGGAAAAGGGAGAACCGGAGACCCACAGCCCAGAACCGGTGGGCCTGAGAGGCAGGCGAGCCCTCCGGCATTCTCTCTCCAGATCATTGTCACTGGACAATCCCATGAGCGTCCCTTCCCAAGCCAAGAAACGGCCCACATCATACCTCCCTCGGAGGCCTCCCACATTTCTCGCTCAGGGCCGGCGGCTGTGCTAGTGACTGCTTTCTGTAACTCATCCCCTCTAGCTGCACCCTGCTCTATGAGCTCTGTCTTGGCAGCACGCCCTTTCCAGACGAGGAGATGAAGGCTGCAGGGTAGGAAGGAATTTACTCCAATTCACTTTGCAAGCAGGGGAGTCAGGAGTATAATGTAGGGTGTCATCTCTGGTATTTGGCCTATCCATTTTAGTCACTTTCCTACTCTAACTTAAAAACAGCCTTTAGAGCATAAATTTCACCC